CTGGTTGGTGTGGTGGGTGCCGAAGAATCAGAGGTGACCCAGACCCAGTTGTACCCTTCCACCCCACCCCCACATTTCTCCTTCCCTAGCCCCCACCCCTCTGTGAATTCCTATGCTCCTTCAAGGGCAGCCATTCCATGGCCATCTGGGGAGAGCCAGATCCGGCTGATGCCAGCCCCGGTGAATGCAGTGGGGTCCCCCTCACCTCTGAGGCTCAAGGCCAGACTCCAGGGGCTCCTGACTCTTGGTTCTATGACCCTGCCAGCCTTTAACCCCCCACCCTAACCAGAACTTGGAACCTTGGCCTTCTTTTGTGGATGTGGCTGTTCACGTGCTGGTCTGCCCACAGCCTGCGCACTTCCTGAGGACAGGGCCCCATGGGCCTGTCACAGAGTATACCTTCCGTGAATGGGAGCTGAATGGCAGGTCTGACATCCCCTCCTCCCTGACGCCATAGCTACATACACTCCCAGGTCCCTAAACTCTCCCCACCCCACTGGCCTCCCAAACTGCAACTCTAGTCCGATCTCTCAGTAACAGGCGGGGTCGCCTGTCTGCCCACCACTCTTGCCGCTTGTGTCTATGTCTCCCAGGGGTGTTGATCTCAGGGTCCCAGGAGGATGCTTGGTAGAGGATCAGTGCCCCTGATAGACTAGTTGGACCCTCCAGCTTCCTTTGTCCTCTCTCCTACATAGGGAGACATGAGGAATAAAGAATTCTACCCTTTTACAGATGGGAAAACCAAAGGCCCAAGGATCCAGTTCAGCCTGGGGCTTGCTGCTGGCCTAGTGCCCCCTGAGCCTGCCTTCCCCAGACATTCCCAGATGGAGCATTCCAAGGGGCTTTCCTCTTCCCCCAACTTCCACCTGGGCCCTCACCCGCTTCCCCCCATCAGATGTCTGGGAGTCCCTGTTGGCCATAAGAGCTGAATTGGGTCCTTGGGCCTGGGGGCTCTAGGACCTAGAATCTGGCTCTGGTGGGGTCATTTTCATTGTTTTATTTTTTCTATTCCCTAGTTACGGGCTGTGGCCAGAATCAACCAGAGATGGCAGAAAGGACCAGTGCTGTCATTGCTTTACAGTTATGGGGGACAGGGAGGGGCAGGCATTGCCCTGAGTTATTTACCTAGAGTCTAAGTGGAGCCTGGGCCAAGGTCTTCTGTTTCCCTCACCATGCCACCAGGTCACTGTCAAGTCTGCGTCCCCAACATGCCCTACCCAGTGCTAGGGTCTGGGCATTAGAAAAAAGGGTTGGAAGGGCATCTGGGTGACTCAGTCGGTTAAGTGTCCAACTTTGGCTCAGGTCATGATCTCACAGTTCATGAGTTCAAGCCCCACGTCGGGCTCTGTGCTGACAGCTCAGAGCCTGAAGCCTGCTTCAGATTCTGTCTTCCTCTCTCTCTCTGCCCCTCCCCTGCTCACACACACACACACACACACACACACACACACTCTCTCTCTCTCTCTCTCTCTCTCTCTCTCTCTCAAAAATGAATGAACTTCAAAAAATATTTAAAATAAAGAGAAAAGGGTTAGGAAGGGTCCTTGGGTGTGGGGTGCTGAGTGGCAGGTTGGGAAGCAGCTGGAGGAGCTATAGGATGCTGTCCTCTGCTTCACATCTCCAGGGACAGTCCAGAGCCACCAGGCTAAACTCCCAGCTCCTTACAGGACCTCTAGAACCTGTTGTCCCGACCCTATGCCACCTGCAGCCCCATCTTCAATCCTCTCTCCTTGTGCTCTGACTGCATGGGCTTTCTCTCCTTTCCCTCACTGCAGGGCCTTTGCATGTGCTATTCCTTCTCTCTGGAGCCCCTACTCCTAAAAATTAATGTCTATCCACCCTTCTGGTTGTAGGTCAAATGTCACATCCTGCAGGAAGCCTTCCTGACTCCCAAGACCAGCCTGGGCCTCCACCTACCAGCCCCATGATCCTTCCTAGCACTTGTCCGAGGGGTAATTCCACATTTCTTTGCATGACGGTTTGAATTGTTTCTTCCTCCAGATTCTAAGGTCTCTGATATGTATTTCCCACACCTGGCACAGCGCCTGGCATGGAGGAGGCCCTCAATCAATGTTTGTGGAAAGGAGGAAGAACAATGGCTCTCAGTTAAAATCCCGGAAGCTCATGCTAAACCTTGGTTTTCTCTTCTCTGAAATAGGAATGGGAACACCAGGATCAGTGTGAGGATCAGCCAGTGACTAAAGGCTCCTGACACATAGTTGGTTAATAGTAAAGAGGAGGAAGGAGGTTAGAGTGGGCTTGGGGTAGTTGAGGAAGGCTGTTTAGGGGTGGAAGGACCTGAGAGGTGGATGGGTTGTGTAAGCCAAGTGTGAGGGGCCGGTGGGAAGAGAGACAGCAAAGAGACAGCCTGGCTGGGTGGGGCAGTTCTCTGAATCTTTGGTGACCCTATTTATGTTTCGGCCTAACCCAGGAAGCCAGGGGATGGCCGAGAAGGCAGGCAGGAAATGCCTCCTGCCTCCCTGGACTCTGTGCGGGCCGCTCAGCCTCAGGCCGGACCTGGCATGGTGATGGGGTCTGGGATGCTGCCAAGGTCTCCCCCACTGGCCTACGGAGAAAGCTGAAAATAGCAGAGGGGCCCTGGGCAGGCATCTGCAGGGGCACTGACCCAGCCCTTGTGGCAGGAAGCAGCCAGCTCCCAGTTTCTGGTGAAGGAGCTCCTTCCTGGAGCTGCTTGCACTGGCCTGGCCCCCAGCCTCTGGCCCCCAGCCCCCAGCCCCCAGATGCTGCTGCTCTGGCAGTGAAGAGCGATTCCTCTAAGTGGGCTTGTTCATTATTCATGTTTGCCTCTCTGTAAAGCCTGCTGGGAAGCAGAGGTGGCAATAGCTCCTGGCCACTAGCACAAGGGCAGGACACAAGGGGGTCCCAAAGAGATCTCTGTACCTTCCTGCCTCTGTGCAGAACCCTTGGATAAGAGGGCCAAGGCCTGGAGCTGCTGAGGGAAAATAAATGACTTAGAGTTACGTTTTTTGCAGCCGTAGGGCACACCTGCTTGCCCCCATACGTAGGGAGGAAGCTGAGGCTCAGAGAGGGTGTGCTACTTATCTGAAGTTGCACAGCAAAGCTGGGGGCATAAATTCCCACGCATAGACATAAAGGCTGTGTGGCTCTCAGAACAGGAAAGTGGGAGAAATGAAGGGGGATTAGACTGGAATTGCTGCTCCGCGTGGATGTCAGGCACTCCTGGGAAAGGCTGTTTGTCTCTGTTTGGCTTCCCTGGGGTCTACCTGGAAGCCCTGGGAAGACTCCTCAGGAGGTGTGTTGAGCCAGAGCAGGCAACAGCCGTGAGCTCATCTCCCCTGAGGCCCCCAGGAAGTCTGGTACGAAGGCAGAAGAGAAATGGCTGGGAAGGGAGGCAAAAGGAAGACACGAAGGGCCTTTGGGATAGGCCAGAAAGCCAAGCTCAGGTGTGGGGAAGGAAAAGGACATTTGCTGAAGGCCTACTCTGTGCTGGGTCATTCCTGTGCATTCTTCTCTATGAACTCTTCACCAACCTCCTTGGTGGCCGAGTATTTTATTCCCCTTGTACAGAGGAGCACTGAGGCTGGCAGTGGCACTGGCCTGACACCAAACCGTGGGGTCTTTGCAGGGCACCTTGATGGGTGAAGGCCAAAGTCAGGCCTTCCCTGGACTCACAGCCACAGCGAAGCCTGGGCTTCTCCTACTTCCAGCTCCTGTCAGCAGGGGGAGGCTGTGCTGCATCTGGTTGCAGGAACTGGGAGCAGAGGTTGGGATTGGGATTACTAGGACAGGAGAGGAGGTCTCTTTCAACAGCTCCTGGTTTGGGAGCCCTTGCCCATGCCTCTGCGATGGCTGAAAGACGGGTAGGGCTTCTGCCTGGATTTGCTAAGTGTCAGCCTTGCTGCTGCCCCAGAACCAAGATGAAACTCTCGATTCAAGGCTCTCATAGCTCCTCTTCCCTCAAATACACCCCTCCTTCCTATTTTCCACTGCCATGTTTTGACAAATTCTCTTCTCTTGGCATGGGATGCCCTTTCTGTTCCTTCCAGCCTGGCCAACTCCTACTCATCCTTCAACACCTGGCTTCGGTGTCACCTCTTCCAGCTTGCCTGAATTTCCTCCATCCCCCAAAGTTCCCATCATGAATTCTTTCATTTTTTTTAAGGGCAGGATTGTGTCCGAATCATCTGTGTGTCCCCAGTACCTAGCGCAGGATGAGGTTCAGAATAGATGCTGATCTATTCTGAACAAGTGGGCAAAATGCATCCCTCTGTGGAGATCAGAGAGCAAGGGTCTAACTGGGGTGGAAGTAGGTGTGGGACACACAGAAGAGGAAATGCTCACGCATCAGGCCTGTTCAGGATCAGCCTGACAGGGAGCCTAGGAGTGAACATAAGCTTTATTTCCCAGGGGTATCATGAGGGTCCAAGGAGATCTTGGATGTGAAAGAGTTCTGTAAACTGTAGTGTGCTGTCTCTGCTAGGTCCTTGTACCTCTCAACTTTGCCTTGTTCCCCAGATGAGGCTGGAGAGAAAGGCCACGGAATGAGGGAGGGAGCAGACCAGGCCTGGTGGGGGTGGGGTCGATGGAAAGGAGTGCAGCCTCAGCCACCTGCCCCAGCTCTCAGAGGCAAGGAGTGGGTGGGATTCTGGGTGGAGAAGGCCTGCCTTGGGACTCCCTCTCTTACGGGATCTAACATCATATCCGAGTTCCGCATGGCCCCAGAGATGATGTAAGCCAGTGTCCTTCCAAAGAGGGGTAAGCTGAAGCCCAGAGAGAGGCAGGCATTCGCCCAAGGTCACACAGCAGGGGTAGGAGGCCATCCTATGAGCCCCATCCTCCCGGCATGACAGGTGTCCTCATCCTGGGCTCAGATCCGGACAGCTGTTTCCCTGATCCCTCCTCTTGGCCCCGCACTCCCCGGCGCCCAGTCCGCACTAGCCCACACCCCAGCCTGCCCTTAGGCATAGGCGCTAACAAGCACTGAGCGCCCCGTGGATGGCGTGGTCCGGACAGCTCCCGACCGTCCTTCTCCTTGACTCACCTCCAGCCCGGGAGGGCCAGGATCAACGGCGGTGGCCAGGGCGCCGCCCGCACCGCCGGGCTGCGCCACCGCCCCGGACTCTTCCGGCGCGGCGAGGTCGCCCTCCTTGGCGCCCCCGGGTGGGGCAGGTCGAGCCCGGTGCGCTATCCCTTTAAACCCGGGCGAGATGGGAGCTGTCAGCGACAGCCGAGGCTAGCGCGGGACGTCGCCGCCCGCCAGGCCAGAGCAAGGAGCCGCGGAGCGAGCAGAGAGCGGAGGTGGTGGCGGGGCCGGGGCGCGGCAGGTCCCCTCGCCGCCCACTGAGCTCTCGAACCCGGGGCCCGGCGAGGCGGGCGGAGCCCAGTGTAATGCGGAGAATGTGAGAGGCAGCGCAGAGCGGTGGGGAGGAGGGCGCGCGCAAGAGGGCGGCGGCAAGATAGACGGAGAGACAGCGGGAGCGACAGAGGACAGGGAACAGGGAGCAGGTGGGAGAAAGGAGAGGAGAAAAAAGGAGTGGCAGGGACAGGAAAGGGGGACAGAAGGGAGCGAGAGAACACTAGGCGCGGGCGGCGGCGCAGGCGAGGAGGAGGAGGCCGGCGCCTCTGGGTGGGAGTGCCGGAAGCCAGAGTTGGGCTCCCCGGCCGGGGTTCGGGTTGCGAGCGCTGCCGCGGCCGGGCCGGGCATGGTGGGGGAGAGGGGACGCCCGAGGGGCCCCCTCTGGGAACGGCGGGGGACCTGAGGCAGGGCCAGCCGGGACAGGGGCGCAGGGCCACTCCACAGGCCCCGCGGGCCGTGCTCCGGAGGCTCCAGCTGGCCGGGGCAAGGGGGCCTTTGTGAGCGCCCCAAGAGTGCGCAGCCGGGCGTGCGGCCGCGGGGATGTGTGCGCGCCCGGGGGGTGCGCGGGTGTGCGCGAGTGTGAGCGCCCCGGCGGGTGGGAGCGCGCGTTAGGGATTCTGCTGGCATCGCAGCGTGGAGAACAGGAGGCAGGAGTGGGGCGCGCAGGGGAGCGCGGGGCCCTCCCGCGCACACGCACACGCCGCGCGCGCGCGCGCACACATACACATACACACACGCACACGCCCTCTCTGCCTCGCTCGCTGCCGCTGCCACCATCTCGGAGCCGAGCCTTGCGGAGCGGGAACCCGAGCCGGAGCGGGAACCAGAGCCGAGCGGAGCCGAATCGGGGAATGCGGTCCCGGAACGGAGCGGCGCGCGAAGTGCGCGCCCGGGACGGTGAGTGGGGCCTGAGTGTGGCCAAGCCGGGAGGCTGCGGCGGGGCTGGGGCCGCGGGGGCGCAGGCCGGGGAGCTGGGGTGTCTGCCCGCCGGCAGCGCCGCGTGCGCGGCCTCTGATTGGGCGGGAGCCTCGGGGGCAGCGGGTGGGGGTGGGGTGTTGGGTGCGCGCCCGTGGGGGCGTGCACGCGCGGAGATGGATGGGGCGCGCTCGGCACCCCGGTCCGTGACCGCGCTCCCGCCCGCTGCGCGGCCCCGCCTAACCCTCGTCTGCCGCCGGAACCCTGGCGACTTGGAGCAACTTTGTGTGTGGGGGGAGAGGAGATGGAGGCGTTTTAATGGTGGAATTCCGGCCTTGTCTTCCAGAGGAGAGAATGCGAGGGAGGAATGGGATGGGGGTGCGGGCTGTGCCGCCCGGCGGGCGGAGGGGTACATATCCACCACCCCATCGGCGCAGCCGCCGGCTCTCTGGGACACCAGTCAGGCGCCGCGCTGGAGCCGCTCCCCGGCGCTGGACTCCTGTGCCTCCGGCAGGGTCCGGCGGGACCGCGCGGCGACAGCTACCAGGCCTGGGGGCCGCAAGGTCGTCTTTGCAGCCAGGCTGAGGACAACAGGGCTTGAGGTGGGAGTGGGGAGACGTGCCTAGTGTGTACGTGTGTGTGGTCCCGCACCTTCTGCCTCGTGGGACAGGCCTCTGGAAGAAGGGAACTGCTGGAAAGATTATCACATTAGACCTGGCTCCCTGGAGCTCCAGAAAGGCCAGGGATTGGAAGGGGAACCTCTAAGTCCCTGGCCTGGTGCCCGCCCCACTGCGCGCATGCCTTCTTTGTTTGGAGCCATGCTCCTGTGTGCCTTACTATGTGTCAAGGTTGTGCCTTGCTGTGTCCCCCACTCCCCTTCTTGAGTCTCCTTCTACACCTCTGTGCTGGTTGCCGCAGGGAACTTCCTCGGCCCCCTCCCCAAATGGCAGCCCTGCCCCTTCCGAAGATATGAGGATGACATGTGGTCCCTTGAGAGGGAGGAACCATGTGCTCCGCACCCTCCCCTTCCCCTGCCCCAGCACCCAATGACAGGCCCAAGGAAAGGTCAGAGGTCAGGACCTTCCCCTTTACAAATCCTCCTTGCTTCCAGGGCAGGTTCTTCCTCCTCTAGGAAGTCTTCTCTGATTGCTCCCTCAGTCTGTCCTTCCAGCTTGGGTTTCTGGATTGGAGCGGCTGGGTTCCCCAGCAGCCCTCGTTCCTGTGCTCTCTCCAGGCACTCAATGTGTGAGCCTGTAGGGGTCAAAGTCTTGTTCTCAGCCTACACGTTAGCTGGAGGGGTGTGATGCTGAATAGTATCTGCCTGCCTCTGGGGGATGGTAATATTTTGTTTGACCAGCTTTCGGGCTTAAACCTTAACTTGCACTTCGTTATCCCTCTGGAATCTCTCAGCCACCTTGTGAGAGGCCATGGCCATGCTTCCACTCCATTTCACGGAGGAGGATTTTGAGACAGAGATGGAGCTAGGAGAAGTCCAGTGTCAGGGCAGCAACTTTCCACTGTGAAAGTATCCATTAACCCTGGTCTTTGGTGAGGTGCGGAGGGGCAGGGAGGGCACCCAGGCCCCCTTCGTTGACTTAGCAGCAGAGCTCTGGTGGCCTTCTGCTAGAGGGTCTCCCAGGACAGCTGTTCTGCTGCCTGTGACCAGCACCCTCCCCAGATGGGCAGGAAGGGGGGCACCTCAGCCTGGCTCGCCATGGCTTGACTTCTGGCACCTCTTGACCCTGGCTTCATTAACCTTTGCTTCCTAGATTTGGGGCCAGAGTCTACCTGGGCTCTGCTCGATGGTTTGCAAACCTGGTTCCTGTAATCTTCAGCACTGGAATGTCAGTATTATTCTGGGACTCAGAGGGGTTTCTCCACCCCCAGCCTGGACCTGTAGGGTAGACCCTGGCATTGTCTTCCTCCTTGGGCCCTGGAATCCTTCCCAGTCTCCTGAGGTCTCCATCCTGGAGCCCCATGTGGGCCAGGGAGCTCACCCTCAGGGAAATGGGTTCCCCATAAAGGTCCAAATGTGCAATGGAGGGAATGGAGTCTGGTTACTTTTCGCACCACTTCTTCCCCAGGTGGCCCACCTGAGGCAGAGAAGCTAGAACAGCTTTCAGCCCCAGTCATTCTTTTGTGAACCGCCCCCCCCCCCTCCACCTGCCCACCTGGTAGCAGCCTGGACTCTTCCCCAGTGCTACTTTGGTCCTTAGAGACCTCCAGGGTGGGGAGAGCTGTTGCCCAGGAGTGACCAAACTCCCCCTGGGGCTGGGGGGTGCTACTGGGCCCGGCGATAGTTCCTTCAGCCTTTTTGTTGGCTTCATGCTCAGGTAGTCTCTCCCTGTCTCTCCTAATCCCTTTCTGCCCTGCTCTCACTCAGTGGCCTTTCTTAGCCATTGTTCTCTTGCTGTCTCTCCCTCCCCTTCTCCATCCCCTATGGCTCCCTGAGCTCTGGACTTTTGCCTTCCTGTGCATTGACACCCAGGTGGCTGGAGCATGGCCAGGTGCCTGCTTGGCCCCACCCCTGCCATCCAGGTCCACTTGAATCCCTGCCCTGGTTCTTCTGGCCCCTCCCCACCCAAGTACTCCAGCAGGCTGAGCCCTCCATTTGGGGTTGCAAGCCATGGGGAAGGAGAGAGCAGGGCACTTCTTTGACCCCTGGTCTGTGCTATCGGGTGTGAATCCCAGTGAGGTGCACCCGGCCCCCACTTGCTGCTCCCTTTAGGAAGACAGCCACTCTCCCTCAAACCTCCTGACTGAGAAGGGGTAGTGCCCAGCGGGCCCCCCTCCCTTTCCCTCTCCAACCAGGCCCTGACCTTGCCATGGGTGTGTTTTAAATTATAAAGATGGGGCGCCTGGGTGGCGCAGTCGGCTAAGCGTCCGACTTCAGCCAGGTCACGATCTCGCGGTTCGTGAGTTCGAGCCCTGCGTCGGGCTCTGGGCTGATGGCTCAGAGCCTGGAGCCTGTTTCCGATTCTGTGTCTTCCTCTCTCTCTGCCCCTCCCGTGTTCATGCTCTGTCTCTCTCTGTCTCAAAAATAAATAAACGTTGAAAAAAAAAAAGAAAAAAAATAAATTATAAAGATACTGTATTTTAACAAATTCAGTGATAAGTTTTTGGGTGGGCTGGGCCTTTGGGTGACTTGAGGGGAAAAAGTTACCCCTGACCACTCAAGCCTCTTTTGGGGGAACTTGGGGCCACTCTGGCCAACCAGAGTCTTTTCCATAGGCTTCCTGGGGCCCAGTCCACATTTGGGTTCATCTCCTGGTTTGAGGCCTGGGCTGAGTACTGGGGATTCTGATGACAAGCCTGAGCCCCTCCCTGGGTGGGCTCTGAAAGGGGACACGGATATCCACCCACACCCCTGGGTGTGAGGCAGAATGGGCTGGGCAGTTGCAGAGGTATGTGAGTCGGGGATTGGCAAGGGGTCATTTCAGATGGACTGAAAGCCTGGTGCATTTTGATCTGCTCAAATGTTTCTGGCACTTGGTAGATGATCAGTAAATATGGTGAATAAATGAGTGAATGGAGAATGTGAACAAGCGAGGGCTTTCCAGGCAGATGGCACAGTGTTAGCGAAGGCATGGCAGTGGGAAGCACCGGGCATGGGTGGAACACGTTTGCAATCGAGTAGTTCATGCAGGGGCACAGCAGGCGCGAGCAGGTTGGCACAAGACAGAGGAGGATCTTGAGCGCCTGACTGAGGAGTGTGGGCTGATTCCGTATTCAGGGGTTGCAGGGTTGAAGTTCTGGAGGGACGCAAGCAGATTTGCAATTTAAACTGCTCCCTCTGGTGGTTTTGGGAGGGGTTGGCCTGGAGAGCCAGAGGCCAGGAGGCGATCCTGAGGCCACTATGGGAATCCAGGCGGGTGGTGAGGGCAACAGCAGAGACAGGCCTCTTATCTTCTGAGGATGGCCAAGGCAACCTGCCTGGTTTCCCACCCCATGGAGGATGGAGAGATTCGGCCTGGGGGGAAGAGCCTGATGGGGCAATGTAGCTAACCAGAGTGGGGCGGGACCTCCGGTATATCACCATTCCCATCACCTGGGCATACTGAAGTGACATACAGGTGTCCTAGACTCATAAGATGCAGCCTTTAATACTGGCCCTCCTACTGCGTGCACTTGAGCAAATCCCTGAGATCCCTCAGACCTCTGTTTCTATGTCTGTAAAATGGGTAAGTTTGTCTCCTTGGAGACCTGGGGTGAGTTTGGGTGGAAGTTTGTGACCTTAGAGGTGGGATACAAAGAGAAGGGGTAGAGGGCTGGTCACACTGCTGTTTGACAGAGGAAGAGTTTGAAGCCCAGAGAGGGGTGGTGACTTGAACAATGAGGTCATAGAACAACTTGGGGGCAGGGCATTCCAGCTTGGGGTTTTTCTGGCTGCGCCTGTGGCCTGCTGGGCAGGGGTGGGTGGCATGGCCAGGGCCTTGAGGCCTCTGCAGAGGACGTCCTCAGGCAGTTGCTTCGGCAGTCCAGCTGTCAGGGAGCATATGGGGCCATATGGCCACATCAGGGGAGGCGCCAGCCACTGAAGGAGGGTTAGCGGCTGCCATCTTGGCCTTCTGCATCTATATGGGCACTGCCAGCCATCAGGGTCAGGGTGGGAGGAGGCCAGGATGGAACCTCAGTGTCCAGGTTGGATTGGACGTGGAGGTTGGGTCTTGGCAGATGGCCCAGTTCTAGCACCCATCTGCCAGGGCAGCCGGACAGGCGGCTTCGTGCCCAGGACTGATCCAATTAGCTCAAGACCAGCTGTGCCAGTCACCCCCCCATGCCCCACCCAGCTCTGATGGCCCTGCGGTCCACAGGACACCGGGCAGTACAGCACATCTGATGTTGGAGTTTCCGGCCACACCACAGTATATGTGTGTGACATGCAGCCTCACCCTGAGCACTGATTCTATAGCTCTAAGATTTGGGGGTATAGAAATGGGTCCTTTGAATCAGCCTGGTGTGATCAAAAGGACCTGGGCTTG